ACACACACATATATATATATATTTTTTTTTTTTCTAATATATTTTATGCAAAGATATTTATTATTTACGAATATTTTCGTTCGTCCTCGTATACAGTTTATTTTTTTAACGTTTCATTCAGTGAACGCTTGCAACGGTACAATCATCGCTACAATTTTTATGATCTAGTTTTTTTCTAGTGATTGCAGTATATGATAGTTATGGCATATCCGGTTTTCGGGCATTTATTATCAAGCACACGAGTTTGACTCGATTGAATTCGGACGATCTCGTAGTCCATTATGATTTCGTATATTGTACTGGTACCACACGGTGCACATGCAGCACGTGCAAGTATATATTTTTTTCTACTGAATGATATAATCCAATTGAAGTGACAGCGGTACGTAAACTGAGTTAATTGGAGCGTGCGTACTGGATCCTTTATGTGGAATTCACAAGCTGACACGGATATTCTGCAATTTATCTATTGCAATTGTTATAGCCGTTTCTCTCATTTGTTCGGCGAAACGCGAGAAAATAATACCTCACTTTTTTTTTGCGAGTGAGATATACGGGTGATAGAATATTGGTAAAGTTAACGACGGATGGAAATTCAATGACGCAGGCGGCAACGTCATTTGAGAGATACGAGAGATGGTAGAATTATTCATGACTCTGGGACTAATAATTATAAGAAAAATTTCTTGAATTCGCCGTGAGAATTACGTTATATAACCGTATTTCGTACTTCGATTATCGACGATTATAGAGCCGTAAAGAGAATAAAACATAAGATTACGCATTTAATGGAATGTGCTTGAAACGCAGAAGAATGTATTGAAGCTGGAGAGAGATCTTTTACAGAATTTCTCAGACCTTGTGCAGTTTATAAATAATGACGCGATAGAATAATTATACGCACAGGGTTAATCAGAGTAATTGGAGCAAAGGAATAATTGTGTGACACTGAAATAGAATTGCTTTAAAATATGATGAAAATTCTACTGTAAATTTTATGTATCGCGCAAAAAAGTAATCTTTGAAACCACATCTCCAGAAGTGCAAAACCACTGAGATGAGATAAAAAAAGGAAAAAGAACGAATGAAAGGAATAATTTCCGTCCGAATGATTTCAAAACTAGGTCATTATTCCAAGGATTCGATTTACAAAATATATTTTAAATTGTTCATGAAATTTAAAGTATATAATATTCAGGGAAAGAAAAAGATACGAAGAAAGACATTTTGATATCGAATATGGTAAAAATTCTACCACAAACTTTACATATCACGCAGAGAAAAGTAATGTTTTGAAACCGTATCTCCAGAAGTGCAAAAGATGGGATGAAAAGGGATATAAAAGAAGAATCAAAGGAACGTCTGAATGATTTCAAAACGGGATCATTATTCTAAGGATTGAATTTACAAACGTATTTCAAATTGCTCATGAAATTTAAAACGTAATATTCAGGAAAAAGAAAAGTACGACGCGAAGAAAGATATTTTTATCTCTCGACGTGTATGTGTTTCATCAAGAGCTTTTCCATTTTTCAACAATCAATAAAATCTATTAATCAATGGATTCCTAGAATTCAAACAATAAACAATATTAAATTTCAAACAATATTCAAATATTCAAACAATAAAATTGTAACTACGAACATGAGAATAATTATTAAAAAAATATAATAGAATTCGAAATGTTTGTTAAATTGTGTATTTTAGATAATTAAATAAAGATAGAAGATTATTTTTTCACAGAAAAAAATCAGCATTGTCTTTCACGCTCTCTTTTTCTAATAATTTTTATTTATTTATAAAGCCATTTTTATTATTTTAAATTTAAAAAAATATAAAAAAAATGTATTTAAAATATCACTACCATATGCGACGCAAATTTTGAGCATGAATGTTTAAACGATTTCTTCTTTGGTACGATATTCGCTGATGATAGCTAGAAATTAGCCGAAATGTTCAAAATTGTTTAAAGTATTACAGACGCGTAGTGACGTCAAACATACTTCAATTTTAAATCATAGCGCACTAATTATCGTGCAGTTATTTATTCTCACTTGCCCATAGTACAATTTTATTTTATTTATACATTATTAGTAAATAAAAAAAAATATTAAAAAAAAAATATATAAAAAAAAATCTTATAGAAAATCCTTTTGAAAAAAAAAAGAAAAGATACTGGATCCACTCGGATCACTGTACCATTTATTCTCATGGACACGAAAGATGCGCAGCACAGGAAAGACGCTCGCGAGGAAAATTGTCAGAATGTGAATTGGATGGTACATTAACGGCTCTCTCTCTCTCTCTCTCTCTCTCTCTTTCTCTCTCTCTCTCTCTCTCTCTCTCTCTCTCTCTCTTTCTATCTCCCAATCAACGTTCCGACCCATTTTAGAGCTTGTTAATTCGCGACGAGCCAGTTAAAACTCGACCAACGTTGTT